CCACCGGTCGTTCGCCCCCCCCCCGCCCGGGGGCGGCGGGGGCCGGCCATGGGAGCCGTCAGGCAAAGGGGCCGCTGCAGAAGGGCCCGGCGGGGAGGCTCGGTGCCCTCCGGGGCAGGTTTGCCCCGGGCTTGTGCAAATAGGGGGGCCGGGTCTTGCGGGGTCACCGCTGCCCGGCCAGCCGGAGGGCCCGCGGGCAGAGCCGGCTTCACTGGGAGCTGGCGGGCCTCAAATGTTGTGATGCCTCCCCGAAGGCTTGTGGCGAGACCTCTGCCACCCTCACTTACTTCTCTCCGCAGGCTAGCAAAGCTACGGTGCCGCAGGACTTTCATTATTGTTGTTGTGGTGAGGGTGGCTGTGGTTGTGGTTCTTGCTACTGGTCTGGACACAGGATGAAAAAAAAAATGGTAAAGCCGCTTCCCTTGCTTTTCTCTTCTCTTGCTGCCTCTGCCCCGTGCAAAAAGAAAGGACCGTCTGTGTGACATGGAGAGGCAGAGGACTGTGGGAGCTGGGGGGCAGGGAGACTCACAGGGCGACAGGAAGGATGGGAGGAAGGTTAAAGATTGGGGAAAACAGATGTGCACATGGGTATAGACTTCGAAACCATTCCCTTGTGGGCCCAAAGTCTTGATAAGTACTGGTGTCTCTTTTTCCTCTTTCTCTTACTGCCGCTGTCTCTTAGACTTTTTCCTGTGAAGTCCCTTTCTCCCTTAGAAAAAAGAGCAATGAATCAGTTGCAGGAGGGACTTTCAGAAAACTCTTCAGCCCCTCCGGTACCAAACGTTAACCATAATGACAACACTTAGCCCTAAACTTAGGCCCTGCTTGCCCCGTATCTAACCTTGGCCCCATTTGATTTTTTCAGCAGTCGTTGTCCTAGTTCTAATGGCCTGTACAATACTAAGCCATGCTGTCACTAAGCCCTACTTGATGCTTAAGACTCTCCAGATTAAATAATTTGGTTTAATATGCTAGGACTATCTCAGGCTGAAGCCTAGCAACCCTAGCAGGATCCAGACGTAAATGTTGCTTTTCAGCTCAAGCTATGACAAGACCTTAACCTTGGCCTGAATCCAGTTAGGCCAGCTAACTCTGCCCCAAAATTTCTCCCAGCATGGCTCTCATGTTAGTCTGGAACATTGTGTTATACCTGACACTCCAGCCGCTTCTGTTCCAAGGGCTAATCGTAACCTTAAACCTGGCCCAGTGACCTGAACTTAAGTACTAGCCCAACTAAGGGTGTCAGCGCTCAGTAGAGCACTGCAGCACACAGATCGCTTAGGAGTACATTTAACTTCTTGTTAAGGTCCACACAAGACCCTTGTGGACCTGAAAGATGAGCTTCACCTAAAACCAAACATAGCCCATCCCATCCCATTTGCTTTCCCTTGCTGCTCCCAGCACTCCTGCGTGCCTTGTGGCATCTGCAGGAACTGTGAATTAGCCTAGTTTTACAGTCGTTACACAAGCTCCTGTATTAAGGCCAGAAAAGCAACACTTGGCTATCCCAGAACTAATTGCAGGTGTATTTAGGAGTTCGCCTCTTTCAGCCCAAGCGGAAGATTGATGAAACCCAAAACCTAGCCTTTTGGTCTAGCTGCAACAGCAGGTCTTCCAGGATCCAGAAACAAAACCTAACTTTCCACATCCATGTCCCAACAAAGGACAATCTTCTTGCATTTAGATAGGGTTCATCAGGCAGGCCTTGCTCTAGTCCGAGTCCTTCTGTCATAAATCCAAACACAACCACAACACCATCATTAACTTGAGGATGCATTTCTTAATAAAAAAACCCACAGCTTATTTCCCTCAGATGTCCCTAATCTGCTTACTATCTTTGCAGCCTTTACAGGTTTCTGTAATGAATGAGCCTTTTCTGGTCCTTCTCTCCTAGGGCGCAAACCTGATTCCAACCAAATGTAGCCTTAAACTAAGAAAGGTAGCCCCTGCAGCAATAGACCTAACTTGCACTACAATGCTACCTTCATGCTACAGGCGTACAGGCCCTACAAGAACTGAAAATATATCTTCAGCCCAAATTGTTGCCCATTTGATTTTTCTATGTGCCAAGCCTCATCCTATTTCAGTGGTGCCTACAGGATTCACACATAATATCAGCAGTCCTTGCCCTTCTTTTCCTAACCTTAAATTGAACCATAACTGTCGTCGGTACCACAGCCATTGCAAAACCCAATGGCCCTGGTACTGCAATTCTATAGTCTCATTTCTCTCACACCCTAATCCCAATCTTCAACCTAACCGTAGTTTAAAGTTAAAAGAGGTGACGCTGCTGTCCTGTGAGTATCCTGCACAATCTCACTAGTACTGTCCTCCTTGTTTGATATTGCCTAGAGGATTAAATGGTCACACAATTCTCCATCCCGTTCCCTCTCAGAGCTTAGCTCTGTCCCTAATTCAAACACTAACCGTAGCCTTAACACAAGAATTGTTACTGCTGTGATCCAAAGCATGTACAGTACAGTTTTCATCCTACTCTGGCAGGCTAACACATCCTCTTTTCTAAAACCAGAAGTGACCCTGGCCATTAACAGATCAAAATATATCCTGTAAGCTATGCTACAACCATACTACTCCTATATTAGCATCCTCAATTTAAGATGGCAATCCCAATAAAATTCAGGAATAAATACAGTTCTCCAACCCATTCTTTCCTCTAACCCAACTGTATCACTAATATTATCACAAGAAGAGAACCCCTACTATCAAGGGGTAACCCCTCAAACCCCAGTTTTACCTTTCATCCCTGACAGCATCAGACCTCTTCTTACTTTGATGGTCCTGACAGAATCTAGGGTACAATTTTCCAGCCTTAGGATTCCTCAGAAATACTAACCTAAATCCCAGAGAGGTGATACCTTGCCATTCTGCAACTAAGTCTAGTCCATTCAGTCCATTGTCAACACAAGCCTTTATTTTTGCATGGCATACACTATGAAAAACAAACACAGGCCTCCAGCTCTTGGATGGATGATCTTTACTATCTTAGGACCAAACTGGGGCTGATTTGGTGCTACCAGCACCAGTCTATATATTACTGCAGCAGCCCTCAGAAATAAAAATATTTTCCAACTGTTTCTCAGTCTTAATCATCACTTTAACTCTAGGTTTTTCCAAAGAGAGGTGACCTCTATCATACGGAAATGAATTAAAGACCATTTGAACACTTCAGTGTTCAGGAATATATTGTATGCTTCTCTCCTAAACCATATGTTAACTCCAAATTTTAGGCTAGTCTTAACCCAAAGGAGGTGACCACAAACACCCCAGGAGGGTAGTTCTTTCAGATGACACCCGTTTTGGATATGTTCTGGCCAGATTAGGGCTTGTGTCTTTGGGCTAGGGCTAGGGTTCAGCACAGTGAAGCTTGAAGAGCAAGGTTCATCTATGGAACTTGTAGGTACCACAGGAAACTGAGGAAGCTGGATGAATTCTGAGATGAGGATGAGACTAGAGTTAGCTGTTGGTTGGACGGTGTTTACCTGGCTGTGTTGGATGTATGACGAAGTTTGCAGTCAGACT